CCCCTGTCCCCTGTCCCCTGTCCCCTGTCCCCCTGTCCCCTGTCCCCCTGTCTCCCTGTCCCCCTGTCCCCTGTCCCCTGTCCCCTGTCCCCGTCCCTGCTGGAGGGGCAGGATGCTTGGGGGCAGGAAGGAGCCCTGCAGGCTCAGGGTGGAGCAGCCTGGCAGGGAGCTGTGCTGGGGTTTACAGCTCTCCTGGAATGGGAACAGCAGGGAAATCCCTGCAGGGAGAGAAGAGAGCCAGGGTGCCCACAGCAGAGTGACACCGATCCCACTTTATTGGAAACTCTCGGAGAGCCAGACACGGAAGAACTCGGTTCTGCCAAAGGGATTTGTACAACAGGGAACACAGCAGGGAATGGGGGAATGAACTTCGAATCCGGCTGAAAATCAGCAATAAGAAAATAAACTTCAGCAACATTGTACCTGGAACAATCCACAGAGTCAAGGGGAGGGGAGAGGGGCAAACCCACCGAGACCCCCGGGTCACAAACCCCCATGGGGAGCCTTGTGCCCCACTGGTTTGACTGGCAGGTGAGGGAGAGATGCTGGGAGGGCACCAGGGATAAGAGTTTAAGGGGAAACCCCCCAAAGTTGGGGGTTTGCCCCACACTCAGCAATTGTTCAAGTCTCATAAATTCAAACATTTCTTCCAATTTAAATAACAAGTGCTTCAGGTACAAGGCTTGGGACGCCTGGTTTGTAACCCAGTTTGCAGTGCACACAAGCAGGAATAGATTTCTTTAACAAAACTATATATATATATATATTTGCACACTCATACACACACATGCACACCGTGGATTTTGGATTTTGTGCTGCACCATTGAGCTGGAGATGATGGAAGGGGCCTGGCACCAGGAGCTGCTCACCCGTGGCACCACTCGCCCTAAAGCTGCGAAAGATCTGCATCATTTCTGTCACCATTGGTCCCCCAAGGTCTCCCCGGCTGGGGCTGCCCCAGCTGCTGCTCGGGCAGCTCCTGAAGCCGCAGCTCTCCCGAGGGTTCCACGTGGAGCCCGCAGCGCGTTCCGCAGGCTCGTCCCTGTGCGGGAGAGCTCGGGGTGCCCGGCAGCGGCCAGCCCAGGGCGGGGGTGGCGGCGTGGGCAGAGCCAGGCTCACACCCACACGGCCGTGTTGATGTCAAACCCCGCCTGGCCGCAGCCTCTGCCATCCGGGACGTTCCTGGTGCCCGTTCTGGGGCGCTCAGCGCGGCTCTCTGCCCGCGGGCACCTCTCCGCTTTGCTGGGATGGCCCTGCAGGTTCCCGTGGAGGGGCAAGTAAAACGTCCCCTTGAGTTTGTTGATCTTTTTGGACCTCTTGGAAATCTCGGGCTGCTGGTCCTCGGGAGGGAGCCAGCACGGCTTCTCCTTGAGCAGGCGGTCGCGGTCCGGCCGGACGCTCCTCAGGAACTTCTTGAAGATGTTGGCGGTGAGGGAGAACTTCCTGCAGAGCTCCTGGGACCTGCTGGCCGACAGGGACGCCTCGCTCTTCTCCCCCTTCTTCTCCAGCTCGGGCAGGTCCAGCCAGTTCCCCACCAAGTCCGCAAAGATGTTGTCCCCCAGCACCAGCGGCTGCCGGGTCCTGCTCTGGGACATCAGGGACGACGTCCAGTCGTGGCCGTCGTCGCAGCCCGGGCACTCGTGGCACAGCGGCCGGGCTGCGGCCGTGCCCGGGCGGCCGGGCTCTGCTCTCGGGGGCAGGCCGAGCTCCCTGCTGCCGGACACGGGACAAGGTGGCCCCGGGGGCCACGGGCCCCGCGAGGAGCAGGAGGTGTCCGGAGAGCCCCAGGAGGAGCAGGAGGTGTCCCGAGGGCCCTGCAAGGAGCAGGGGGTGTCCCGAGGGCCCTGCAAGGAGCAGGGGGTGTCCGGAGGGTGGCTGCTCCCCGGGCTGGCAGCGGGCTGGCACACGCTGGCCGGCCGTGGCACGGGACACACCGGGCACGGGGGGCAGCAGCCCCGGTCCTGCCCGGGCCCCGCGCTGCCCCGGCTGCAGCGGCGCTGCTCCGCGGGGCTGCGGCGCCCCGAGATGTCCAAGTGCTCCAGCGCCGTCTGCACCTGCAGCAGCTTCAGCTCCTGCAGGGCGCCCATCATGCAGTTCATCTGCTCGTGCAGCCCGTCGCCCACCTCCTTCATGGAGAGCTGCCGAGGGAAGAGCACAGCGGTCAGCATCCCCTCCCGAGGGTCAGTGTCCCCTCCAGAGGGTCAGTGTCCCCTCCCGAGGGTCAGCGTCCCCTCCTGAGGGTCAGCATCCCCGTGGGTCACTATCCCCAGCAGTGTCCCCGTGGGTCAGTGTCCCATGGGTCAGTGTCCCCAGCAGTGTCCCCAGGGCAGCACAGCAGCAGCACGGGGCAGCAGAGCAGGGCTGAGCAGTTTCTGGGCCGTGCCCTCCCTCCTGACCACCTCTGCATCCCACCTGCTCTGCACCCACTTCAGCCAGCAGCACTCCCATTCTCCTTAGATTTTTCTAGGAGTGTCCCTCTAGGAATAAGAGGAGCTGACAGAATTGGATTGTTTGACCTGACAACAAAAATAAAGAGTTTGAATTTCCATTAATTGCTTGGCAGAAGCCCAAGGTGTAGAACTATGAATGGTTTTGGCTGCTGCCAGTTTTAGAATATTCTTGTGCTTTTGAGTCTTTTGTGCCGTCACCAGCTGAAATCGGGAGCCAGAACAGAGCCTGGCTTCCTCACCTGAAGTGCTCCCATATATTAAAAATAAACCCCAGGAAGAATGAAATTGTTACTCCATAACACATCTCCAGCCCTCAGCACAGGCACCTCTCGCTAGAGGACAAAGGCATTTCAACGCACGGGAAATTCTGCACAGAACAACCAACAAACTCTGGGACTACTTACATTCAAGCAGGAATTCTTTGATCCCCAGGCTGGGACCTTTAATAGCAGTTCTGCTTCATCCCTGAACCTCACTGCAAAGATTGAACTTTCTACACCAGGCTTAAAATAAGCAAGTTATTCTCCAGAGCTTCCCAGCTCCCCCTCTCTTTCGCTCCGCTGCTCTCTGATGCAGGACCTGGATCATATTCCCAAAGCAGCCCCGGAGAGCAAACGGGCTCTGCTTTCCAGCAGCTGCCACAGATTCGTTTTCAGCAGGAGGGGAGGAAGAGCAGGGGCTGGCAGGAGCTGCCCACGCCGCTCTGGGCGAGGAGTTCTGCAGGGACTGCCCCGTCCAGGCCACGCCGTCACAGCAGCTCGGGGGGCTCATCACCATCTTTTGTGCAGCAACACGACTCAAGATTAGGGTGAAAAAGGCCAGCTTTTTCTTTTATTCTTATGCTCAGCTTTACATTATGGAGCTTGATTTTCTACATCTCCATTTTAACTAAGCTGGTTCAATTACTTGCTCTATTTCCATCTCTGAGCAGTGAGAAGAGCAGCCATCAGAAAACTGTGACAACCCAGCTCTCTAAGTGGAAACTGCTCGACTGTTTCTGACCACAAATCCCCATTTCCAACCCCAGAACCTTGAACTAAACAGGTTACAGTCATTTTCCTGAGCTTTTCTCTCAAGAAACTTATTTATCACCCACAATGAGCACACAGCTACAAAGATACAGAAAATCTCTGCTCAGCTTCCTGATTCCACTTCCCAGAGCCTCCAGCCATGGCATTTCTTAACACCAGCAAATAAAGTCGTGCTGCAGACGTGCAAACAGCGTCCCAATTCCAGCCTCCCCACGCTCCCACTGCGAGCTGGGCCCGGCTGCCCCGCCAGCCTCAGAGCTGCCACCTTACCTGCAGATCTGCTGGGATGCTGCTCCTCCCAACCTTCCCTCCTCATTAATGGCAGCCTGCTTGATCTGGGGCTTTGGAAAAAGCTGGATTTGGAGCCAGCTCGGCCCCTCATTGGCCTCTTCCCACCAAATCCCCGGCGCAGTAATCGCGCCCTGGGGAGCGCGGGGTCCTGCCCTGCCCGGGCATCTGCCGGGCTGGCGAGGCCAAAGGAGCCAAATTCTCCTCCTGAGCCCAGCAGCCAGGCTGCCAGAGCTGGGCCAGCAGCAGCCCGGGCACCAGACAGCTGGGAAAGAGGAGGGGATGTGTCACAGTGAGCCCATGGGCACTCTGTGCCCCTTCCCCATTCCCTGGGACTCTGATCAGATACCCCTGGACCCTCCTTCCTGCCCTGCCAGGGCTGCCCAGGTGTCACAGTGAGCCCATGGGCACTCTGTGCCCCTTCCTGGGGCTCTGATCAGATACCCCTGGACCCTCCTTCCTGCCCCGGGGAGAGCCAGGGAAGCCCACCCTGCCCAAAGTCTGTACAGACTCCTGACATTTCCTGTTCATCCTCTTCTGCCCCGCTCTCCCCTTGGACACCACAGAATAAAGAGAGCTGGACCAACATATCTGGGGTAAGAGCCTCTTTTGGGAATCTTTGCCATCTCCTGATATTCCTCCCCCCACAGCCTCGGACCTCTGCCCTAGCTGATATTCAGGGGGCTGTGAGGGGGGCAACGTCAGGGATGTTTTTCCCTGGGGAAGCCTCTCCTGGGAATGACTGAGTGGGGCTGAGCCCTGGTGGCACAGGGAGGAGCAGAGGGGCTCTGGGCTGAGCCCCGGGAGGAGCAGAGGGGCTCTGGGCTGAGCCCTGGTGACACAGGGAGGAGCAGAGGGGCTCTGGGCTGTGGCTCTTCTGTCCTGCCCCAGGGACCTGCCCTGGCTGGGGCAGTCCCACCTGAGCAATGTGGAGCCCACCAGCAGCAACCGAGCTCTCAGCACCCTGAGGCTTTCAGCTCCGCTGGCAAATGCTGCTGTAATTTGGGTTGTGCAAGTTAAAAAATGAAGCAAACCAACCCCCTCTGCTTTATCTTCTGCTCTTCTTGGTATCTGCTCAGTCTTTTACAGAGCTGGAGAGAGAGGGGAGCCCAGCCCAAAGTGAAGTCACTGCCTGGTGACCAAACAGCCTGAGGGGCTTGGATTCCATCCACCTGCAATCAAGAGTACTCACCTTGGAAAGAAAATTCTGGAGGGAAAAGAAACCTTCCCCACTGTCTAACTGCCAGCCTCTCCTCCTTGCCAGGACCTCAGCTCTCCCAGGTTCAGACTGGTTTCTCTGAGACTCCAGAAAAGGAACGATGTCCCAGAGAACAGAGATCACCTCCCTGGCAGAGGGTCGGGACTGAACTACCTGGTCTGTGGGAAGAAAAAGGGGTTCTGCAAAAAATCCAGCAGACTGGGCTGGGATCAAATGGATGCAGTGTGGAGGTGATGAACTCCAGGCTGAAGGGACAGCCCTCACTCACAGCCTCACCACACACCTCATGCAGAAGGAGCTCTCTGCTTCCAAAAAAGCCCTCTTAGAACCATGACAAAATATCCAAACCTATCCCTATAAACCAGTTAAAAATCAGATGCCTCAAACTGGATCTCATTATTCCTGAAACTTTTGCAATCCCTAAAAATTGGCAGGAAAAATTCGATGTCTAATTCTGCACAAGCCAACTCATGCCTTTTAAAGCAAGACAAGTACTCACAGGCTGTGTTCCCCTTCTGTGCCTGGGACTGTGATGGGAGAGGTTCCTTTCTGAGGAGCCAGGTACTGCCTGGCTCAGCCCTCAGTGCTCCTCCAAAGCAAAGCTCATTCACACTACAGACACCCAAGCACCGAAAACCGAAGTGCAAAATTCAAAATTCCGCTTTCAAATGATCATCAGGGAATATTCAGCGTGGGGGGGAACCAAAGAAAGGACTGTCACAGCTCATCTACAGAGTGGTTTTTGCTCTGGAAATGCACCAGGCTGAGCAGCAAAGGCACCAACTGCTTTGGAAGCCCCCCTTTCCATGATCTCCTCACCTCCCAGCCAATACCCACAACTGCTTTACACAGCTGGGAAATCAGTGATCTTCCAGCTCTGATTAACCCTGCAGGGCAGAGCCTGCCCGAGGAGCCTCCAGCATCACTGGATTCCATCACATCCAGCCTCAAGCACCCCAGACCCACCAGTAAGGCAGATTTCCCTTGCCACTTCCCCCTCCCAGCTAAATAATAATGCTTTTTATTTATCCTGCCCAGGTAAGTAAGTAACTCTTCCAGCCACTTTGGAGCCAATGTTCTCCTGTTAAATCTCCCTTCCCACCCTCAGGATCCAGCTCCAGAGCTCTCCACTGGCTGCACCCCCAGCCCAGCACGCCCTGCCTGCCCAGGGCAGCTCGGGGGGCTGGTGGAAGGGGGGAGCCCAGGCACCCACCCCAGGGAGCAGAGCTGGGGAGAAGAGCCCTGGATGGGGAGAAGAGCCCTGGCTGGGGAGAAGAGCCCTGGCTGGGGAGAAGAGCCCTGGGTGGAGAGAAAAGCCCTGGATGGGGAGAAGAGCCCTGGATGGGGAGAAGAGCCCTGGATGGGGAGAAAAGCCCTGGGTGGAGAGAAAAGCCCTGGATGGGGAGAAAAGCCCTGGATGGGGAGAAGAGCCCTGGATGGGGAGAAGAGCCCTGGATGTGCAGAAGAGCCCTGGCTGCTTGCACAGCGAGGAGCAAGGCAGATGTCCAGCTCTCAGGTGAAAGAAACCCACACAGAGGAAGTTATTGCCAAGAGGACCGGAAAAAACAAATGGCAAATAGTTCTTAATAATAGTTCTGATGGGCAACAGAGCCAGCACCAAACAATTGGTATTTAAAGCAGATGACATAATGGAGACTGAAATAATTTCAGAACTGCTGACTGATCATTTTGTTTCTGTGTTTCCCTTTGGTCACTAACTGGATTAATCTCCAACAAGCCTGCAGCTGTGGCTGGGCACAGCCTTGCTGCTCACAGCCCCTCGTTCCACCGGGCTTTTCCTTCCCCTGCAGCATCCCAAGGGCCTGCAGTTCTCTTCCAGTCCTTGCATTTTATCACGATAATTTCAGGTGTCTCTTTCACCTCTTGTCTTCCCGGGGTACGTCAGGTGTGCATGAGGCTAACTGTGAGCTCAGAGTTTCTCTGAGAGAGGAAGGATGCTGACACCAAACCAGACTCCCCCTCACAACAATCCAGCAGCTCCTAAGCAGATGTTAACTGTGCAGACGTGGTTCACATCCCTCCAAACCCCACCTTCCTTCCTGTGCTTCCCAGTCACACTCCCTGTGTTCAAAGGCAAATCAGAAAAATCAATTCTCCTCAACCAGGATAAAAATGGGCCAAAAATAACTCCAATCTTCAGACTTCTACTCACAACCAAGGCTGAGAGACTCCTGGACTCCATGGACAGACTGAAAATGGTGGTTGAAAGTGTCAGTTTTCAGCCCAGACCTGCTTCCCTGGGAATTTGCTCTTTAACATTCCTGACTCTCTGAAACTGGGAGTCTGAAAAAAACCCATGCTCATCTTTAGGTGGCTGCCCTGGAAATAACCCAGAGGACAGAGGCTGTGGCTGCCCTCGCTCCCCAGTTAAAGGTGACAGGACATCTGCTGCCAAGTCACTCCTCTGCACCTTCCCCCAGAACAGCGAGGGAGGAGATCTGTGACAAGCACCCAACCTTCTGGCACTGCTGAGATCACCCAAAAATGGAGATCTGCACCAGATGAGGCACCCTTGGGGCTGCCTGTGCCCGCTGCTGGAGCTGGGCAGGGGCACCGGACCCTCAGGGCTGTGGTTTGTGCCCCGCAGGCTGCAGAGCACCTGAGGGCAGCAATGAGAACACAGCAGATCCTCCCGGGGCGTGACACACTCACTGAACAGGACCCAGTGTCGGACAAAGAGTAAAAATAATTGACTGCATTTTTCACTCGGACCCAATGTTCTATTCCTGCAGGATATTCATAGCAAGAAACATTGTCTGCCAGGACATAAATTAATGCAAGAAGGAAGTCAGACTCTATCAAACTCAGTAATTCGATGCATTTATGACAAATGTGCAGGGAGAACATTAAAAGTTCAAGTCACAGTGGTGACTTAAGTACTTTTCCTCCCAGAAGAAAGCAACAGAAAGCGCAGATATACCCTGGATCCATGTGAAAGACCAAGCAAAGCCACAAGCACAGCCGAGCAAGGTCACAAGCACAGCTACCGTGGCCGTGCCCCCTCGCCTGCCGCAGCCACACAAACGCCTCGTGCCAGGCAAACCTGCCCCGTGGGCTCAGAGCTCCCAGGGAGAAAGCAGCGGCTGATTCCAGCTGCAGAGCAGCCCCAGCCCACGCCAGGGCCGTGGGTGATGCTGCTGCAGTCAGTGCAGGCTGTGCTGGTGTGAGAGCGCGGGCAGGCACTGCCCCGAGCAGCACAGCCAGAACTGCTCCTGCCAGCCCCTCAGCAGGGCAGCTCCTGGCACCCCCAGCTCGGGCTGGGACACCTCCTGTGCCTGGGGAGCAGCACCGTCCTGCTGGGGCTCAGGACAGCCGGCATGTCCCCAGCGCGGCAAGGGGCTCCGAGGATGGGGTTAGGGGCAGGATGGCACACTGCCCAGCTCTGGGGCGCATTTCACAGCTGCCAGGACAGAGGATGGCAGTGCAGGAGCACAGCTAACCCCAGCACCAGCCCTGGAACCAGCGCTGCACATCCCCACAAGCCACAGCGTGCCCACGGATCTGCAGGGCTTCCCGGAGGAGGAGAAGGTCTCTGCAGTTCCTCGGAGGTGCGGGGAGCTGGCAGGGCCCGGGGGAAGCTGCACGGCCGGGCTGAGGGTGCCAGCCCAGCAGAGCCCCTGTCCCATGGCACAAATGGCTGTGCCCGCGCGGCGCCAGCCCCAGCAGCTTCTGAATGAATCCCAAGCACAGGGACAGCACACATGCCACAAGGAACAGCTTTCAGTGGAAACCAGGGCTGAACGTGCTCTCTGCTCCCTGACTCAAAGGGGTCAGGGGCATCCTCGGGAGCCCCGGCACAGCTTTCCCAGAGGAAAAGGGAAGGGCAGGGACAGCGTGCCCGGCCTCGCCGGCCTGCCTGGCACAGCTCTCAGCACGGGTGACACAGGGGGCACACACAGCCCCAGACTGGCACACCAGCAATCAAGTGTGTTTGTCATAAACAAAGCAAGGGAAAGGAGAAGCAGAGCTGGAATCCTCCCTTCTCACGCTGCTGGGGGATCGAGTTGCACTGGAAGATAACCTTTCCTTGGGAACTGGGAGCTGTGCCAACATCCACTATTTTTTGAGAAAATCCCCTCCTCAAAACCGGCCAAAAGTCTGGTTTGCCAAAGCAGAGGCTGCCTGCACTGAGACAAACTAAACTTTGCTGACGGGATGGTCTCTAACCTTGGCATGTGACACTGAGCAGCCCTAAAAAGGCTGGCTCCTGACAGAGGGAAGCTCTGCAGAACCCCCCTGCACAGCAGGGACACAGCTCAGCCCGGGGGGCTCTGGGGATGCCAGGGCCGGGCTGCCCCGTGGGCTCCCCGGCTGCCAAAGCCACCGTCACCACCGGTGCCCCTGAGCCCCGGCCCCGGTGCAGCCAGGCCTGGGCAGGAGCAGGGGATGCCAGAGCCCCGCAGCCATTCCCCTGCCCGCGGTGCAGGAGGGCACAGCTGGGCACAGCTGGGCTGCCCTGTGCAGGAACACTCACCTACTTCCACTCCAGGAGCTGGTTTGCACAGGCTGGCGCAGCTCAGGACACCCTGACGGATGTTCCTGTGCCTGCACCCCCTGTCCCTGCACCCCCTGTGCCTGCACCCCCTGTGCCTGCACCCCCTGTCCCTGCACCCCCTGTCCCTGCACCCCCTGTGCCTGCAACCTCCATCCCTGCAATCCCCATCCCTGCACCCCCTGTCCCTGCACCCCCTGTGCCTGCACCCCCTGTGCCTGCAACCTCCATCCCTGCAATCCCCATCCCTGCACCCCCTGCCCCGGAACCCCCTGTGCCTGCAGCCTGCAGCTGGCTGAGCTGCAGGAGCTGCAGGAGGGAGCTGCAGGAGGGAATGCAGCCCCGTCCAGCTGCAGCCTGTGGATGTCCTGTGGCTCATATCCCTGCACAGCCCATGTGAAAGGAAGTTCTGGAGCCTGAATAACAAAATCCGGGCGGTGGCAGGGGGAGCGAATGGGTCTGGTGAGAACCAAACCTATGGAGACCCAGGCTGCTCCCAGCCAAGTCACAGCTCGTCCAGCTGGAGGTGACAACTGCCCCTTCCCAGGGTTTTCAGCCAAGCATACACAGAGTTATTCCAGGCTAAATCATGGTTAATTAATGTAATAAAAACTGTTGCATTTTTACAATTGAAAAAAATCAATTCCTGCATTATAGCAAGGACTGAACAAAGCCAGAATTTTCTCATTTAAAGTATTTTTTTTCATACATTAAGTGTGAGGGATCTCCCTTCCTGTTGAATATATGGACTCTTCAGAAGTTATATTTTGCACTACAAAACAGGCATGTTTTAGCTCAGAGGTGCAATGTTTAGGCTCCTATACAAAAATACTGCTCAGATAACAAAACCGACTTGGTTAGAAGACAAAACACTGATTTAGGGACCTTATTCTTAGGCTGTCTTTCTGGAAGCTATTCCTGCTCCCATTCACCTCCCAGCTCAGATTTCCAAGGGCTGTCAGATTATTCTGCTGTGTTCTGGTTGGCAGTTTGCATTTCATTCATCAGCGTACAGCACACCAGTGACTCCCACTGCCCTTTGTTTTAGTTTGTCTTTCACCTCCTGTGTTGGCTGGGAAGCACTGGGCACGCCAGCAGGTTAAATGTCACTGCTGGCACTTCTATCGAGAGCAAAAGGCCCCTGCCCAGCCCGTGTTTCACAAGACCCCGGGGTCTGGAGGAGCAGGGGCTCTGAGCCCGGCCCTGCCCCGGGCACAGCTGGAACTTCTCCTGCTCCACCGGGGCTCGCTGGGGTTCCACACGGAGTGATGCAGGCCCTGAACATCTCCCGGGAGCACGAACCCGGCTGACATCACCCCGCTCCAGCCCCGAGCGGGAGCTTCTCGCATTCAGGAGCTTCACCCACCCGCTCTTGCTCTGCCTTGTCTTCCCCTTTTGTTCTCATTATCTATTTATCAGGGCAAGGCAGCCTCCGAGCCAGAGCCGCTGGAGCCCTGTTTTGGGAAGTGTCAGGTCCGCTGCCAGCCCACCCCGGAGCACCAGCACCGCCTCCGGGCTGCGGGACAGGCCCCAGCAAGCCCCGCACCGAGGCTCCCCGACCGGAGCGGCCCGGGGCGAAAACACCGCTCCGTCCCGACAAAGGCTTTCCTATTACAGAGCGTTTGCTCAGCGTACCGGAGGCGCCAGCGCGCTCCGTCTACAGCCTTGTCATTCCCAGAAAGTTGCTCCTTTCCATCTCTGCAGCTGCTTCCCTGACTGCTGACCTGTGCTGGCACCTTGTCCCTAAAGCCCCCCACGCCCCCGCCGCGGCTTCTGTCCGACAGACGGACGGACGGACGGACGGCCGGGACCTGCCCCCGCTCACAGCGCTGGGACCCCCGACCCACAACCGGGACCTGCCCCCGCTCACAGCGCTGGGACCCCCGACCCACAACCGGG